CGGCCGACCGCGCGGCGGCGGCGGGGGGAGCAGAGTGCAGTGTAGCGGGATGGGTTACATCCCTGTCAGAGCTAGGATTAAGTTAAGCAGCTTAGGTATATAGGCTATAGGCTATAGCTAAGGTACTTACTTTATTTTAGCCCTTTTTGGACTGAGAATATTTAGGCTCGAATCCAACCATCAAATTAAAATGTGGCTTTAATTAATTTCTTTAGTGATGATAGAACAATGCAGTAGTGCATCATGTGCATGCATGTTTGGAACTTTGAATTGGATTTGGATGAGAATTGAAGAATTCGAGAAGAGATATATCGAGCATGTGTTAGTGCGTATGTACGGCTTCCTGGAAACTTGGACCGGTTCTTGCTTGCTGATATACATGCTCTGTGCTTTCCACGTATGTGGAAATGGACCCAGGGCTTTTGCACTTTCGGTATGGAATTAAGTTGTCAATCACAAGGATGTGTCAATATATATATGCATGTGCTTTTCCCCTCCAAAACAATAATAATGTAGCTTGTAGATCGATAAGATATGCGTGTTTTTATTTTAGATAGATAATGGAAATAAAAAGATGGGCATCTTTTTTTAAAAAAAAAATTACAATCAATTGTTACATCGTTCGTAACTTAGCTAGGCAATAACATCACCGATAAGATATCCTGTTGTTAAACCTCCATCGAATGGTTAGCAAAGAACAAGCTAGGACTCTATGCAAAGCGTGAATGCGTCATAAAAAAAAGTAACTGAGATTTGACACCAATTAGTATAATAAATTTGAACAACCTCACGTCTTTTAAGTGTAATGCGCGTGTTAATGAAAAGTAAACCGGAAAACAAATTGGCTAAATATATGTTAAATTTGGGCATGAATTTTGTTAGCTTAATCGCTTGTCAATTTTGACTTAAATGCTAACATTATTGACCGCTACATTTTTAGGAAATACCCAAAAATGATTCCATATATACATGTATGAATTTTCCTAGAATTTTTTGTGAAAATTTTTAGTTGGTGTACACGGTGCGTACACGCGAGAGCCTGTGTGCATAGGATACGTATATATATATAACATTTTAGACGAAGGAGGGTCAGATCTATCAGTAGTGGTTAACCCTCTCATCTCACAGTGTAAACACGAGTATTGAAGGGAAAAAAATGTTCAACAAAAGGGCAATTAATAATTTTGTTCGTCATTGCCTTAATTTCTTTCCTGAAATGTGTGATTGCCTTTTCCTTAACCGGTATGCATTTCCTTTTTAGATAGTTAACAGAAATAGCAAACTCTTCCCGAAACCAGGCCCCCAACTTCTAACTTTCCATCACATCACATCTAAAACTTTTCTACACACATAAACTTTCAACTTTTTTTTTCCAAAACTTCCAACTGTTTTTAGAAACTAAACACCGCCTATGCTTACAACGTACACATATATACGAGTTTAGGCATAGGATTTGTTTGGAGAGCTCAAACTTTTAAATTTAACTCTAAGAACTGAGTCAGAAACAAAGTTGAGCAGTCTAATTAAACTCAATTTCATCTCTCTAATTCATTTTATAAGAGTATTTTTAACTTATTAGTTTTACTTATTTTGATGTAGCTAAAACTGTTTGGCTAGACTCAAGCTGAACTCTAGTTAAGCACGTATGCGACCGAGCACACGCAAGTGATGTTTTCCTAACTTGTTCTAAGCCCAATTAATCCAGGCATCCAGCTAGCTAAGCTAAGCTAAGGTAGCTAGGTGTATTGCTGTACACCATGCAAATTAAGCACGAATGCATGTGTCCCATACGTAAGAGACACTAGTTGGACTGCTTGCTTGCATCGCATCATGCACAGGTCGGTCAGCTGCTCGCGTTGCATGCGCAGCTGCTTTCTGCGTCGTCGTCGTCGTCGTCGCGTCTCCACCTGGGGATCGGAGGAGGAGGACCACTCGTACGTACTCCCTCCTTCCCTGAATAAATGTTTGACGTTGTTAACTTTTTTAAATAAGTTTGACCGTTCGTCTTATTCAAAAATTTTTGTGAAATGTGTAAAACTATATGTATATATAAAAGTATATTTAATAATTACTTAATCTTTTTTAATAAAATAAATGATCAAACATTTTTAAAAAAGTCAACGGTGGTGTCAAATATTTTAGGATGGAGGGAGTAGTCGCCGTCCCAGCCACACACATGGCGCGCGCCTCCCCCTCGCCAGCTGCCGGCGACGACCACCGTACCACGTCGACGTCGCCCGTCGCCGCCGCACGAGAGAGATCGAGAGAGAATCGATCGATATGATTAATTGCATATGATCATTGCCTCATCGGCACAATGACACGTACGGATGAGAGATGCATGCATATATACATGGTCAATAATATCAGCACGTTGATCCGTCAGAGATCTTTGCAAATATCGCGAGCCATGCCGGCCGGCCGGCCGGCGCCGGAGAAGATGCGTGCGTTGCATGTGTAGCACGGTGGCGTCGTACGTCGGCGATCGATCGCATTCTGCAGGATCTTTTTCCGACTGTCTGAAGCTATCTATCTCTGCAAGTCTTATACATTTGACACCTGTACATGTACATGAATGTACACAGATCAGTAATCTAATTAAAGTGTGACTTTGCTAGCTGCTCATCGATCGATCGATCGATCCCGTCCGTATCTCACATTTGGTTGTGAGGCTAATAGCTAAGGTAGCAACGTACACAGATCTTCGTATCAAAAATGCTAGCTTAGCTAGGGGCGTCGCTTGTAGATCTACGAACACCGTCCTGTATATATCTGTAGAACTCTTTTTCCAGCCTAGCTAGCTGGACACGAATAATTTAATTCTTGCCTGACCAACTTAATTAATTTCGTCCAACCAGCCGACACATGTAGATCCATCCATCAATCCGAACTACTGCCTCCATTTTATATTATAAATTATTTTAATTTTTTATAGTTAATCATTTTTAAGTTTGATTAAATTTATATTAAAAATATATATATTAATATTTTTAACACCACAATTTGGTGTTTAAATTTTACTAATTTTTTTTATAAACTAAGTTTGATTAAGAAAAAAAATTCAAAGCGACACAATATGAAACAGAGAAAGTACATTGCAGTATTTAGTAGTAATGTGTAGCTAGTTACGTGTGGTTGGTTTACTTGCAAGCTTTGGTCACTGCAACGGCAACACAAATGCTGGAAAAAGGCAGCTAAAGGCTTTCAAGTGTTTGAAACTAAACGTGATCACGCATTGACCGAAGCTGAAAGTGATCAGATTTGGAGATTTTCGTTCGTGTCCCGTTAATTTCTTCTTCAGACAAGAAGAAAACCCTCAATTAATTAAAGGCGCACGCCGCCGTGCCGGCCGGCGATGGAGACCGCCGCGCCGGCTTGCCGGAAGGAGCAGCGACATGCATGGGGCCGGAGCTCCAACGACGGCGAAAGCTTTCGGCCTCTCGCCTTTTTCCAAAATGATAGGTCAGTTTTCTCAATTTCCAGGGGAGGAGGACGACGACGACATGTTGGTAGTGTTCGATATGGAGAGGTATAATACCTGAAGCTTCTTGGTGCCTTCAGAGAGAGATAAAAAAAAAAGGGTGTCTTCTTCAATTTTTTCTTTTCGAGTTAAGTGTTCATGAATTGAAACTGCGGTGGTGGTGTTTGAAACTGATGAAGATGAAGTTTAAGTTAGCACACGTAAAACGAGAAAACTTAACTCGAGGTAATTAGTTTAGTGGCAAATGGATATATTCGATATTTTAAAGCAACTTTTACGTAGAAAATTTTTACACGGAACGCACCGTTTAGTAGTTTGAAAAACGTGCTAACGGAAACCGAGGTAAAATCTGTAACTTAGTGAGAAAAAGAACAGGGCGAAACTATTCGATGATTCTTGTTCATGCAACAAGAACTTGTATCAGTTTTTGCTACGTCAGAAATTCAGGAAAAGAATCAAAGGGATGCATTGGAACAAAGCTGGAATACTAGGTAGCTGATCATCTTTGTCTGAATTAAACAAGGAACTGGAAAAAGGAGATGAGAAGGAACTATAACAGCAAACGGCGATCCGATGATTGCGTCGAATATGTTCTGCTCTTTCCTCTGCCTTTTTTCTGCATTGGTCATCAGTATGCATGAACGTCCTCATCAGCTAGATATGAATGGATGGATGCATTCCAACACGTCATGCAGAGCAAGTTGCTTTGAAAGACGGAAAAAAAAAAGAAGTGTTTTTTCCTTGGGCTTAGTTCGTCACAAGAGATTCCTTGGTTCTTGCCAATCTGATGGCATATCTTTTATGATGTATATTTCTTTTTATTTCTCAAGAATCTTTGTTTTCTCCTTGTTTTTCTCCTGGAGATGATGGGGATAGATAGATAGATAGATATTTGGGTCCCCTTCTTAAAAAGGTCCATGACAACTTCACTTGCAAGCTTGCTGGTGCTGGAGTTGTGTCTTGGTGTTTTATTATGGCAGGATGGGGTTGTTGAGATGATCCAGAATTTTTTTAAAAAAAATATATATCTCTTTTTTTTTATAGTATATTCAGGCCATGCATGCGTGTGGCTGTATCCTCATCACATTCTAGTTGTCACACACTATCTCAAGCTCTTGAATAAATGAATAGTGCTACTACTTGGATCTGCTCATCTGACAGAGGATTGAATGCATGTCTCCAAGAGGGCAATAGATGCAAAGATGTTGATGTAGTATCTTTTTAATTAAACTATGCCAGATAATTCAACAGGGGAGAAATTCTTGCAGTACCTGAAAGTTGAAACTCTTATCTCTGTCTCTGAACTGAGCCATTGACAATTTCATGGATCAATCAACCCTGCATGCTTGTGAGTACAAAACTTTATCCCTTCAATCATGTAAACCAGATTCAGAAGTCACCTCTGTCCCAAACAAGTCAAAGTGCACTGCACTGCAAAGGATTCTGTGCTAACTGGACTTTGACAGGGTTGCAATGCTTTCAGAGTTCATAGCAACGGAAATGCAATATGAGGGACAGCTTTTCTTCGCTGCAGAAACTAGTTTCTTTATTCAGCAAGTAGGAGTACATGGTACATGATTGTTCAGACAATTACATGTAATGTGTGAACACTAGAGTTACAACAACATTGCAGCAAAATTTGATGCTACAGACTAATATAATTACTCACTACCAAAGGTTTCATAAATAATAGTGGCATGCTGTACTCTACTTTGACCTCAGAGCAAGCCTATGTAAAGCTAGATACTCCTAGTACAACAAATGCTAAGGTCCAAGTGATGTTTTTCACATTGGCAACACCCTTCAGCTCTGAACTGTTCTACTTACAGTTACAGTAATACAGTCAACACTGTATATGCAGCCAACCTCCTGCAAGAAGCAGATGATCCTAACATCCTGAACTTATCTACAAGAATTAAGGAGAGTTGCAAAATTAACTTCACACAGTATCATCTCTGGTGGACGAATCATGAATTAGCATGCCCTTTTCCGAGTTTCTATAACCCTTTGCATGGCATAGTGGCACCTATAAAGCAATAGCATCAATTATTTTAGTCCAGAAAAATACACCACTGAAAAATACTAGCACCATAACCAAATAATTATGCATAAGATCCTTGTAACGAAACAAGCATTGATCTATAATTTTCTACTGACAATTATGATTATATTGATTGACCGAAACAGAGTAATCTGAAACCAGTGTAATTTCAATCCAGCTGATATACAATGGTTTACTCTGAAGGTATTCTTAGTATGAATGGCACAGAAATACAACCCTTAAAGCTAACGAGTTTCAACATAATATGGTTTGAGCAGAGTTCTCAAGATATACCTCCATGGAAGATGATCAAGGAACATACGAGGTGTAACAACAAGGTCCATAAAATCTTGTCGATTGGCTATAAATGCTTTGTAACTCTTGTTCTTGCGACTCTTGTGTCGAGTCACAGGTGTCTTCTGAAATGGAGAGGTATGATTCTTTACTGGAACAAGATGAATAACGAGACCAGGCAGATACACCTCCGGTGATTGTCCTTCAGGCAAACTTATTGTACGCAGATCATTAGGATCAATCGAGAGTTTTGTGCCATCATTTGAATGAGGTAGCCTGTATTCCCTGCTACATTCATTCAGATCATCTTCAGAAGACTTCCCATTTCCGCATGCATTACTAGGTTCTCCAAAATGAGGAACATCCAGAACACTGCAGGAAGCAGCCATGCAGTTCCCTCTATCACCAAGAATATTCATTCTAGATCTGCTCCCCAACTCATAGTTGATTGCTGCTGTGGAGCTCACTCGATATTTTGGAGTATTTACCAAGCAAGATATCGCTTTACCAAGGAGGAATACACCACCTCTAATTGTGTGCATTAGATTATTTCCGTGGATTTGATCATTTCTTAGCTTTGCCTCATTGACTATCTGAAGAGCACCAGTAGACTGACGATGATCTGCAACATTTCGATTGTATCCCTTCGTCCTCACGATCCCAGCAACTAGTTTTCCAACTTTGGCGGAATTCGGCAAAGCATCCTTTGAGAGAGCTCTCACAGCAGCAGCACGTAATCTAATTATTGAATTCATGGATAACCGGGCAGAAAATTCATCATTGTGGACAATACTGTGATTGATGGGCACTTAGTTAGAAAATCACATGACTGGTATATATGAACAAATAAATAAATGAACAATAGGTTCATAGGTATGACAAGTTCAGTATCACCTGGTAACAAACTGTGAACATGCTTCTGCGATCACATAGTCCACACATGGTGCTGCTCCATATGCATATACATGTAATTTTGGAAAGCGTCCATACAGCTGCATAATACAAATACAATTGACTTAAAGAAATTCGTATGTTTGCATGAATACATGCACACTTACAAGTCACAAGAACTAATTTTTTGACTGACTTGAAGATTGACACAACTTAGTACAATATTGCATCATAAATGGCTGTTATGATGTTTAATTAATCGAACTCCCATATCATTCCTGACAACTGTGTCACTTCATGCCCCACATTTCTTTCAACTAACAAGCTTTCCGCATATTCTCTACTCTGACAAATAAGGGGTTGTTTGAAACTAAGTTACTAACAGTTGTTTGCCACTTTGTCTAATGAGCCCTTCTTGTAAGGTGCGACTTGCGATATCAGTCCTAAAATTTTAGAGGAATAACATCATGCAAAATTGCAAGATCCCTTCTACATTCTCCTGAAAGTCCATAGACTGATGGAAACAATAAATCCTAAATAATCCTATGAAGGTGTGTTGATCCAGCAAAAAACAATCAAGGTTAATTCAACACTATATAATACTAACATGGAAGTATAAAATAATACAAAAATATACCAGTGCCTCATTGACACATATCCACACTTCTACAGTTGAGCAGGTGAAAACCCAAAACAATTCACTCGTGGTGCTAATAAAAAATTGATAATCCAGCATAATCAAATAACTTGAAATGAATTCCCCTGTGCGTTGATAGTAATAAGCCAACTTACTCTGATACCAAGAAGTGCAGCTACAGAACCTCCTAAAGAATGCCCAACGATTTCAATATTGTATCCATGGCACTCACATCCAGCGCCGAGCAAAGAAGATAAGAATCCAGCTGGCACTGCATCTGGTTTATCTGCAGACGGTCTCAAGATGACAGTTAATCCCAGGTGCTAACTTGAAATTTTTCAAGAATAAGTTGCTATAGTATTAGCGAAACAAGTCACTCGTTCAGTCCAAAAAACTGAAGGGTTCTTGTTTGTACATAGAGAAGAATCTATTCTATACTTACCAACTTGTCATGCTTAAGATATTACTGACGGGTATTTTGGTATTTTTATATCTATAAAATATGATTGTTAGGAATGTGTGACTGTCATCTGATCAAAATATCCATGTATTTAAGTTCCACATCAAATATAAAATATAAAGTTACATTATTTCCATGCTAACCTTGATGGATGGGCAGCCCTTCAAGCTTAGCGTACAGTTCTCGAGCTGATTCAACCATTCCAGCATGTCCATGGTGTGGAAAGGATGAGATGACAGCATCCTTAACTTGTAGGGGTAACTGATCAGAACTGCAATGCAACAGATCATTTTATCAAGAAAAAAAATGAGTCCTAATTCACATTTAATTCAGATTGACCATAAGGACCATAACGAAGAAGAGTATTTCCCAAATTTAATCATGGCGGACCATGAGACTATTGGCAGTGGGGAGTTCCAGATAGTTCGTTTCATGCACAAGCAGCTGGCTAAGGATAAGCCTTATTTATTCATAAAATAACCAGCAGCTTACTCTAGATAAGTTTTAGTGTAAGTAAGGGAAATGTAGAAAAAGTAAAGTTACTTGATCAGCCCATCCAAGTCATCCACCGTAAGAGAGCATTCCCTACACAAGCCATCAGTTATAACATCTTCAGGAGTCTCAGTTCCGCGGATGGCAATGACTAACGTTTTCAAATCGTGCAGGACAACAACAAAATAGGCAGCCTCACGTCTTGCCTACATACAGAATACAAAACCTTAGGTTCGTCACACGCCATAACAAAATTGTAAATAGAAGGTGAGGTAGACTGCTGATTAACCTGGCTAACACGGCCTTTTATAAGAACTTCCGGGGGTACACTGACATATTTTAGGAAAGCAGCTGCATGCCCTCGCCACCAATTATCGCCTTCAAGAACTGGTCGCCTGTCAAACTAAAGTTCCATAAGCGTGACTATATACCATGCAGCAAAGACACAACAGACAAAGACAGACATCACATAAAAACTAAACATAATCTGGAGCACCAATTGGCTCTGATGCAAAATTTAGAAAGAGCTGAAATTCGGAATTAAAAAATAAGGAATATTAGAAGAGGAGACTAGAGTCCATATAGAAATCCAATTAGGAAATAACTTAAATTCGGAATTAAAAACAAGGAATATTAGAAGTAGAGTATAGAGTCCATATAGAAATACAATTAGGAAATAATAGAAATTCGGAATTAAAAATAAGGAATATTAGAAGTAGAGTATAGTCCATATAGAAATACAATTAAGAAAAAAATAGAAATTCAGAATTAAAAAATAATGAATATTAGAAGTAGAGTATAGAGTCTATATAGGAATTTAAAACTAACTATAATTTGGAATAAACATAATAAAATTAAAAGTAGAGTTTAGAATCCGTATAAAAATACAATTTACAAATAACTAAAATTCGAGATTAAGAAAAAACATGGGAAGAAAAGTTTAAAGTCAATATAGGAATACAATTTAGAAATAGCTGAAATTCGAAATTAAAAAAAAAAGGAATATTAGAAGAGGAGACTAGAGTCCATATAGAAATACACTTAGGAAATAACTGAAATTCGGAATTAAAAATAAGGAATATTAGAAGTAGAGTATAGAGTCCATATAGAAATACAATTAGGAAATAACTGAAATTCGGAATTAAAAATAAGGAATATTAGAAGTAGAGTATAGAGTCCATATAGAAATACAATTAGGAAATAATATAAATTTGGAACATAAATTAGTAGTTTTGAAAGGGGATTTAATTATTCGTTCTTTTTCCCTTTCATTTTAATTTTGACCCCAAGGGAAGCTGCAATGTCATGTTTTAAGTGACTGTGCTTGTAGAAGAGACCAAATTTATCAAATTAAATTATGCAAATAATTTGAAGGGTTCTGTTGCAATATTTATATGAGCTGTCTCTGTGCCATGCTACCAAATAACACTAGTCAAGTTCTAAAATATGTCTTCTTATTTTCGTATAAAGATTGAACGGACATCAAAGTAAGCAAGCACAAATTATCCAAGTGCTAAAGATAAAAGCAACACTGACAAAACATGTGCAGCATAATCTCTTTTTTTTTTGTGCAACTAGAAGAGCATAGCCCCCCCCCCCCCCAAAAAAAAAAAAAAATCCATTAGCAGAAATGAGCATTACAAAGTTTTCACAACATAATCTAATTATGTTTTGCAAAAGCATGTAACAAAGCACCACATATTTACCTAGCACGGGTCCATGGTGTCATAACACCCTGCCGATTGAGCCAAACACATGGAAACATAAAAGGATTCCTTCCAAAATCAAGAAGTGGTCCCTGCAAGGAGAACATGTAAAAAATGTACTGGCAAGACTGAAAATGACAGACCAAGTAAATGAGTCAGGGAATAACTGTATAGGCAGCTTCAGCAAATGGATGAAAGAGAACAGCCTCTTTAATGAGATCCTGAGGAGCCTCTGCTTGTTCTTTTGAAACAACTGCGGATGACTTAAATTTCTGCAACAATGAAAACCCTGAAGAAAAATAATTTGAGATCATATAATATTGCTGAATAACAGTACCATGGGACATGAAAAATCATCAAAATGTTCTTTTTTCTCCCTTCTAGCAGTCGAAACCTATAATAAATGTCCACAGATATGTATTCTAAAATTTCACAATATAGCAGAGCATCAGAAACATAATAATGACAATAACATGTTGAAATTTTTTAGCTGACTACCAGCCTAAAGAAGCTTCACCTTAATTGCACGGATAAAGGGTGATATGTGTTTTTGTCCATTTGAAGGGAATGATATATCTCAGATATGCACCAAGATTAAAGAGAGCAGAGCTGAACTTCAAATCACAGGGTATACAGAAACCAACCTGCTATAAGCTCAAGGTGGCCAGTTCCAGATGCGCGATAAGCCATAAGATCACCCAATAATTTTGCCACAACACATATATCATCTTCTTCTAATACACTCCTAGCAATGTGAATAACAAAGTTGCTCAAACTTTTCAAATAGCAATAGAGGTAGGATATACCAAATAGTTCCAGAGAGAAACATACGAATACTTAACCCGCCCTAGACAGCATAAAACTTCTCGGATACCATGATCAAACACCTCTCTATAGTGTGCCCTCCACGCAATATCATGGGAAGCATAGAATGACCTCCACCTTAATACATCAGAACCAGTAGAACATTGAACTATAGTTGCCACCCACATGATGACGATAAAACTTATTAACAGAGTGTGCTTCCAGTTACTGTTGTCTTGGTCATGTCCTGATAAAAGCCAAGTAACATGAATCAGTGATCTAATTGCAACAAAGGAATCCATACATCTAACAAACGAATGGAGATGAAGGCCTTCCTTGTTATGCTGTACTATATATCAGTTCGTGTTACCATATGATACTATAGATAATTTAAGCATGAAGACAGGATAAAGTATGTTACATACTAAAATCCATGTAGGGTGGCGAAATCCCACATATATTTGATTTTAAATAAGTAAATTTAGTGCAGAAAAATGCTGCTTTGCATAGAATTCCAAGGGTTTAAGAGAATAAATGTATTTTGATCCTAACAACATCTTAACAGCCCATTTTTTTTTTGAAAAAAAAAACAGTCTGAATCTGTATATAGCACAATGCAAGTACCTGACAAGCACTGTTTTGAAGATCTCCCAGCAGAGAAATCCTTCACTATAATACACAACAAACAAAGTGCTAAAACAAACTGCAGCACAGTAATGACCACCCCAAACCTTGTCCACCAAAGCCATCTCTTGTACCGCAGCTGCCAACAAACAGAACAGGGAGTAACCTCAAGGTTCAGACATTAATACCAGTAAGCATCTAAAAATGCAGGATCAGCACTGCAAAGCAACAGTAAAAAAAATAACACTAATAAAACTCTCACCTATAAGAATAGATGCCATTTTGCTGAATATCGGTGAAGTTAAAAACGATTTCAGATTTTGGTAACATGATATTTAGGAAAAACAAATTCAAGTCAATTAATTCAGGGTATCCTACTCTCATGGTGACTTGTCAAGTTGTCACACTACATTTCGGGTGTGTTTAGTTCACGCCAAAATTAGAAATTTGGTTAAAATTGGAACGATGTGACGGAAAAGTTGAAAGTTTGTGTGTGTAGGAAAGTTTTGATGTGATGGAAAAGTTGGAAGTTTGAAGAAAAAGTTTAGAACTAAACTCGGCCTTCAAAGACTGAGCTAACCAGATGCTGCAAGGCTGCAACCTACAGAGGCAGCTTGGCCTAACAATCGCAGCACACAGCAGCTTGAAGCAAATGTTAAAGATTGCCGCAATTGATTGAACAATTCAAGCATCATCGCACAACAAAACACACAAATTTGCTCTTCTGAGCACCGTTTGGCAGCAAAGTTTTGACGTTGCCCTCCCCTCCCGTTTTCGAAACTATCGAATCTCTCGCATATTAGAATTGAACACGAATCGCATTGGCGTTCGGCCGGTGGAGCTTACCCGCGAGAGGTGGCGGAGGTCGCGGTCGCTGTCGACGTGCGCCCCGATGGCCCCCGCGGCAATGGCGGCCGCGGCGGCGCCCTGCGCGAACCCGGCCACCGCGGACGCGACGAGCCTCGCCGCCGACGCCGCGGACGCGGCTGCGGCGGCCGGGCCGAGCGCCCCTCCGCATCCCCCGCCGCCGCGGAGGGCGAGCGCCGCCACCGCCCCCCCGGTGGACGCCGCGGCCGCGTTCAGCACCGCCGCGCACGCCGTCGCCCACCGCACCGTGGCCAGCACGCCGCCGGCCATGGCGCGCGGCGGCGCGACACGTCGACGCGGAGGCTTGACCGGAGGACGAGGTGGGCCCACACTGTCAGTGAGAGCGCGGGGGTCACAGCCTTGGTTAGCTCGCAGTTGAGCTGATCGATTTCTCTCTCTCTACGTAAAGGCCGGAAAATTCTCGAGTTCACGCGGTTATTCTAGAATGGGGTCACTGGTATGTGGGCCATGCACAGTACAGGTAGTGGCGTTTTCCCGGTGGGCCCACCTGTCAGTGATAGTGGAGTTAAGGAGGGTGGGAGGGGTTCGGCGGTAGTGGTTGGCACGTTGGGTTCGCGTGGTTCTAGAACGAGGCCTTTTTACCCGGTTTTTATATTCTTTTTTTCTGTGAGCGAAACCTAGTTTTTAATTAATTAATTATAATTGCGATGGGCCGACTCATGAAGAACCTGCGGGCCGCGCGCGCATGGCCTTGCTGGGCCCGTTGAAGTGGTTTGCTGGGGAAAAAGTACTTGGATTACCTCAACTATCGCCCAAGTATGATTCATATCCTCCAAACACAGAACCGGGTATATCGACTCCTCCAACTATCAAAACTAGTGCAAACAATATCCCTCGGTAGTTTTGGAGGTGGTTTTGGTTGACGTGGCGTCTACATGGTGGTTTTGACCGAGTCTTTGTCCTACGTGGCACTTACGTGGCATTAGAATAAAAACAAAAAAAAGTTATGTGGGACCCATATGTCATTCACACAAAAAAAAAGTATTGTGGGACCCACATGTCATCCTCCCTTTCCTTCCCTTCTTCCTCCCCCCTCTTTCCCTTATCTCTCTCAGGAGCGGCGGCAGTGGCGGTGGGGACTAGGCGGAGGGGAGTGGTGGCGGCGGTGGCGGTGGGGACGAGGCGGAAGAGAGCGGTGGAGGTGGGGAGCGGCGGCGGTCGGGATGAGGCGGAGGGGAGCGGTGGCGGCTGGGAGCGGCGACGGCGGCGGTCGGGAGCAGCGGCGGTGGTGGTGGGGACGAGGCGGAGGGGAGCGGCGGCGGTTGTGGTGGTGGGGAGCGGCGGTCAGGAGCGGCCGAAGCACGAGGCACGAAGCACATCGTTCTCCTCCTCCTTCGCTCTCCTCCGCCGCATCCTCCCTGCAAACCACCTCTTCCACCTTCTCCTTCGCCGCTCCCCTCCACCTCGTCCCCACCGCCACCGCCGCTGCTCCCAACAGAGAGATAAGGGAGAGAGAGAGGGAGGAAGAAGGGAAGGAGATGGAGGATGACATGTGGGTCTCACAATACATTTTTTGTGAATGCCATATGGGTCCCACATATTTTTTTTATTTTTGTTTTTACTCTAATGCTACGTAGGACAAAGACTCAGTCAAGACCGCCACGTAGGCGCCACGTCACCCAAAACCATCTCAAAAACCACCGAGGGACATTGTTTACACCAATTTTGTTAGTTGGAGGAGTCGATATACAACGTTTTGTGGTTGGAGGGCATCAATCATACTCGGGTGATAGTTGAGGGAGTCAAAGTATACTTTTTCCGTTTGTTGGTATGAGGCCCGTATTGATGGGCCGAAACGTGCGGCCCATTTGGAGGAAGATGCTAACCGATCGTGTTTTGCTGGGCTGTACTGTACTCGCGGAGGCACGTGAGTACGTGACATATACACACACAGTTTGTAGGAGTACAACTAGTATATGCAGGAAGGACGCGTCCTGTTTAGGGGACCTTAACATTTCGAGAATCATCACCTAATTAGTAGAGAAACTGATTTATTAACCTTTTATTTTCTAAATTCTATAGCTTTATAGAAGTTAGAATCTACCAGCCCCATTCGTTACCCTAATAAACCAAATCTAAAGTTAAAATTTAAATTTTCAAACTTAATTTTGAAATTGATTTTAAGATATTTTTAGCGTTAGAATTACCTTTTAAATCGCGAAGAACACATATATAAAAATTTTACCTATAAATTATTTTTTATTCCCTCACAAGCTGTTTTGGCCTATTAAGAAATATGGGCAACCAATGAGAACCTAGACTGTTTGGAAGAGTCAGAGCTTTTGAAAGAAGCCGCATAAAGCTTTCCTAGGAGCAAGTTTAGCAATAACTATTGGCTCCAGATCATTTATAGTCAATTTAATAGCCAATTCATACAATAATTACATATAAACATGTACTACGTAATTAATGTCTGGTCCCACCTGTCATACACACATGTGTCTTGGAGTCCATGCTGCAGCTAGCTACAAATCTGTAGCCCGCTGCTCTTATCTCTAATCTGTTATCTCCTTAAAATATGTTTATAGCTAGCTTATAGTCTGTTATTGTACATGCTCTTAATAGTATAGTCCACTACTACCTCTAAAAATTAATACATCATCTATATCCACTTTAATAGTCTATTCATACAATATTTTATATAAAATATATTGCACCATTAATACTACTTGGCATACATTTCATACATGCACAATATCTTAAAGCCTGTGTCACAGCTGCTTTCAAATTTGTAGTCCGCTTTTTTTCTCTCTTTCTTCTCCTGCTTTCTTCACACACTACTACAAAAACGATTTTCCTGGACAGGGACACTTTTAGATTGCGGGCGGGCGGTAACTCGATCCGCACGAAAAAATCAGCTCATTTTCTAGTGCGGTCCATTTAAGAGGACTGCACGAAAAAATTGATTTTCACAAATGGACATATTAAGTGAACGGCACGCAAAAATGAGACTATTTTTGCAGGCGGATGTCTTAATTAACCGCACGCAAAAATGTATTCCCTTCCACACACTTCAAAATTTCACCTACTCTCTCTACTTTTTCCTTTTATTATTCACTCCTCCTCTCATCTCTCTCTACCTTTTCCTTTCCTCCTCTCCTCCCCTCCTCTTTGAGCGCATGGTGCGAGTGGGAGGCCACCGGCTCGCCACCCCTCCCCTTGCAGATCCGGCGGCAATAGCGACAGCGACAGCGGCGGCGCGCGGCCCCTCCCTCCCCTTGCAGATCTGGCGGAGGGGAGGGGGGTCTTCGGCCGGCAACCATGGGGACGACGGCTGGAGAGGATGGTGGCGTCGTCGGCGGTGGGGAGGCATGGGGGCGGCGGATCCGGCGGCACGCGGCCCCTCCCCTCCCTCTCCCTTCGGCTCCCCTCCCGTCGTCGGCGGTGGGAAGGCATGGGGGCGGCGGATCCGGCGTCGGTGACAGGAGCGGGCAGCGGATCCGATGTCTGGGAGACCGTCGGTGATGGGAGCGGGTGGCAGATCCGGCGTCTGGGAGACCGTCGGCGACGGGGGCGGGCGGCGGCGGCAACTGGATTAGGGTTAGGGTTTTGGTTTCGATTTTCTTTTTTTTTTGTTTCGATTTTTTATTTTCCCGTGCGGGCGGCTTAAGTGCGATTTTCGCATTCGCAGACCCTTCGTATTGACTAAACGAAAAAAATTGTTATTGTAGTAGTGGCCTGCATGTGCTTATAGCTAACTTATAGCATATGCTCCTTGCTCTATACAAGGCCTAGGATTTGGATGAGCCCACCTACCTATCAAAAATAATAAAATAAAAATGAAGGAATAAAAACAGAAACTGTAGGACCAGCTTACTGGTGGCGTTGACCACCAAACTGAAACTGAACAAGAACCGCATCCTCGTTAGCTTTGTCGTTTGTGTGCGTTCCTCAAGCAACGATGGAAAAACTATGCATATATATAGCTATAGTCTCGATCATTCATATCTCATTTTGGATTTGGAGTTAATTTAGCTAGCAAGCAGTGACGTAATTTTTGTATGGGTGATCCAACTTATAATTTTTATAATATCCTAAATATAAAAGAAGTTGAAAAATATCAATGAATAATCAAATGTGCATTTTAATATATTAAAAATGAGTTTTTTTCTTTTTCAAAAGTTTCTTTTCACATATGTTATATGTATGCATTGGGCTAGGATTTCTTTTTTCCCCTAGATCGGCCTACGCTAGCAAGAGGCCAAGGTCACGTGAGAGGTAATTGATGCTAATTAACTGATCTCTGATCATATGCATGCAGCAGCATCACTGATCTGATCATGGTCATTGAAGCGAACTGAAACAACGCAAACGACGTAGAGAAACTACAGCTAGTTTGAGCGACTTGCAGCAGTAATTCAAAGCTGAATTCGCATAAATTAACTGCTATAGCTAGCTAGACTAATTCTATGCATTGGTGCATGCATGAGAACTGATCATGTACAGAAAATAGGAATAGGATGAGACCACCTGCATGGTCGATCTGCCAGAAGAAAGTTGTAAAAGAAAACAGTTGAGGAAGAATTAAGATGACGATGAAAAATGTCGAGAGAGTATGCAGATCTGATGATATACAAAAAATGTGCAGTCCTAGCTAGGTAGGATAGGTGATAGCTGCGGTTATCACTGACAGAGACGACTGAGAGCAAGTTTAACGGTACTAATTTAATAACCAATTCATACAATAATTGCTTACTATATTATTAATATATGATCTCACATGTCATATACACATTGCATCTTGTAGTTCGCGTTGTAGCTAGCTACAGATCTATAGCCCGCTGCTCTTCTCTCTCATCTTTTATTTTATTAAAATATATTTACAGCTGGCTAAACTGTTATTGTATCTGCTCTGAACGAGCTACTCCCTTGGTTTCATTAGAAATAATCTAATACGGTATGTGGCACTGTCTAAATTTATAGTACTAATTAGATAATATTATATTTCATATTAGAAGTACTAATTAATTAAGATAATATTATATTTCGTATTAGGTTTATTTTTTATGGGCGAAAAGGAGAAGATTGATCACTGAGCCGTTTACGCGCGTATAGGAGTAGCCTTCAAACAGCTCAGCGAGTGTTTGAGTGAAAGGGAGTGAAAGGGACTAATTAAACTTTAGTCCCTCATAAAAAAAACACCCGTTCAGGTGTTGTTTGGGTGGGAGGAGGTGGTGTTTGGGTGGGAGGGACTTATTTTGTCCCTCCCACGAAAGTATAAGTCCAGTCCCTCCCACCCAAACAACACCTCAGTCATCTAGTGATAAGCCTAGCTAAAACAAAGCTAGTCCCACAAAAGCTGCCCAAATCAATGCAAGTGTTTTTAGTGGGATTGCCTCCCCTACATTGCTACTATACC